GCAGGAATTTATCCAGACCCGGGATCCTTACCCATCACTATACCCTAAAAGGGATTAACTTGCCCGTGACCATCCCTCTTCACCCTAGAGTCCCCAAGAGAAGGTCGTCTTATTAACGTCGTTCTTTATCCAAAGATGCAGCCATAGGACTGGTTTCTACTCAGCTTCTGCCCCAACAGGTGCGTCTCAGACCAACAAGCCTCTTATAGATGCTTTTATGTAAAGGTGGTCCTTGCAGGTGCCCTTCATCATGGGGGTTACAGATGTTTCCCACGGAGATACCCCGAACAGGTGTTTTATCAGCTACATCCTGACAGGTGGGCCTCAATACACATACACCTCTGTCTCCCCCCCCCACCCCAACCGCAGGTGCTTCAATGTGGCTGTGCCTCATACAGAGCTCAGGTCTTTCTCTCATGTGAGCTCAATTCTATGCAGATGTTCCTCATACAAGACTACAGTGGGGCCTTGACTTACGAGTGTCCTGACTAACGAGTTTTTTGAGATACTAGCTGTCTCTTGGCCGATTTTTTGCATTGAGTTGATAGAGTAATTTGAGTTAACGAGCTCCTTAACGAGCTCGGTCTCGGAACGAATTAAACTCGTAAGTCAAGGCCCCGCTGTACTTCCTTCACCACACAGGTATGCTTCTCAGCAGAAATCCGCCCAGGAATGCGTTATACAGCGTCCCCACCCGCACGGGTGTTTTCGTGTTAAGTATACACCCGTATGGGTCTGTTTCCGTATAACTGAGTCCCATACAGGTGTACTTAAGTGCAGGTGTGTCTCATACCGGGTATTGCCAATACATCTCCACACAGAAATTCCTTATCCAAGTGTTGTTCATTCCAGAGGTGAGCCATGCAGCCGCGTCCTCAAAACCGTGCGCCAGAGCGCCTCAGCCAGGTGTTTGTTACAATACAGCTGTTCTACACAGCTGTTTTCCACACAGGTGTGCTTCTGATCAGCTCTACGCCCAATGGGTGTGAGTCAATGCCGATGTCTCCCACAGGTGTGTTTCTTACCTGTCCTTGCCGATGTCTTTTCTACAGGCTCGCTCCCATGCAGGTGTGTACCACGCAGGTGTTTTTTCATGAAGGACTCCCCATCTGGGTCGGCCCCGAACAGGAGTGCCTCATACCACCGTGTCTCCATGCCTCGTGTGTCTCCGCACCTGTGCGGTCTTACAGACGTCACCGCAATCCACGAGGGAGTTTCCTCTTGCACTTCCGCGCCTCTTACTTTTCCGCATTACAGGATTGGGTTCCCGTTACAGGTGCGCACGCGGCGCGGCCCCACCTCCCGCCTGGCTCCGCCCCCTTATCTCTTTCAGGTGCATAAGCCGGAAGTGCGCTCCCCTCCCAGGTGAGTGACTAAACTTTCCGGGTCACGTGAGCGGGAGGAGCCGGTGTGGTCCGGCCGAGCGACCGAGGGACGCACGGAGGGATCGAGCGAGGGAAGCAGACCGGGAACCTGAGTGAGATCAAAGACGCCCGGGCCAGGTAGGGAGGCAGGTCGCGCCGCCCCCCTCTCCCTACCCCCTTCCCTTTCCAGAGCCTAGGAATGCACTTCCCGAGTTAATTTTTAATCTCTGACCTCTGGCGGCGGGGCGGGGCTGGACTCCGGGGTGCCCGGGCGCGTGTCGCCCCTCCCTGGGCCTGCGCCTGGGTCAAGCCTCCTCCCCCACGCCCTGGCCTTTCTCCGTCTCCCGCCCGCAGGTGCCAAGTCGTAAGTACCTCTGGCCCGAGATGCGGTAGGAGCGGCGCGCAAGAAGCCCTGTCCCTGGTGCCACCAGCGTATCTCCCCAGGCCCATGGCGAGCCCCAGCCTGGGGCTGCTCCTGGCGCTCGGCCTGCCGCTGCTGCCGGCCCGCTGGGGCCGGGTCTGGGGGCAAAGTAGGTACCGGCAGGGGCGCTGGGGACCCGGGACACCGAGAGGTCAAGAACTGGGGAGCGGGCATGGAGTGCCTTGGGGGCAGCAGTCTACAAGGTCAGGGCTGGGGATTTTGAATTCCTAAGTCCTTCCTTGGACGGGTCGCAGTTGGTCTAGAATTCCTGAGTTCCTGATTGGGGTGGAATTATGAGCTGGAGGGAGAGGAGGCCTGAATATCTGAGCCTCTGTGGTTGAGGTGTTTTGGGCTGTCTGGCAGCCTGGAGGGGGCCTGCCTGCCTGGGGCTCTGAGTCTAGGATGACCACCAGGCTGGCCATATGGGTGGACCCAGCCATTCAGTCCTTCCAGTTTCAAGAGCCTGGAGTGGGGATGGGGGTGGGGGCGGAATCAAATAGATACTCCAGGGAAAAGCAGGATCTGTCCAGATCTTTCAGAGCCAAGAAAAGGCCAGGTAGGTGGGGGAGGGGAGAGAAGGGGACAGTTAGGCTTCCAAACCATCTTGTCATAGCCCCCAACTCAGCACTAACTGCAAACTACTGTGGGCGGATTCCTCACTGCTGGGCTCCACTGGGCTGAGGGTGGAAAGAGTAGCAGTACAGCTGGCCTGGCTCCGACATGCAGAGCACCCACAACGAGAAGAGCAGAGTTCTAACTGGGGTGGGGGTGGGGGGTGAGGGCAGGGGAAATCCCCAAGGAAGGGGGCAGATGTGCCAGGATGGGAGTGATAGATGGAGCTTCATTTATTCTCTCTACCACTTCCTCACAGCATTGGACCCCACTCCATACGAGAATAGCACCACTACCACCCCATACCCCAGCTTCAATGGGGCCCTGGTGAGTTGGGGGGTATATATGGCATGAGGGCAGCAGAGATTCTATTTAGGATGCTATCCACAAGTAGCAGGTGGAGAGGCCTAGATCCCTAGAGGTGGCAGGCCAGGATGGGGGTTGGCATTGGAGACCCCCAAGTGTGAGAGAACAGAATATCAACATGACAATTAGGGAGAGCCAGGGGCCCAGACTGGGGAGACCCAGAACCTCAGGAAGGGAGTAGATGGTGGCACATGCAGTGGGTCAGGAGCTCTATAGGCCTCTCGGGAGGAGGGGGGAATAGCTAGGAACCCAGATGTGATGGGTGCTTGGAAGGGGGACCCCAGACATGGCAGGTGTGGGGGACTGGGAGCCCCAAATGTGATAGATGGGGATCAGGTGGAGGAACCAGATCACCAAAAGGAGCAGGGGTGTGTGGGGGGATTAGGAACCCGGGATGCTTCTAAGGTGGGGGCAGACAGGATCCCCAGATTCAGGGAAGTCACACCTGTCCCCTGTCTCGCAGTCTAAGGAGGCCACCACTGCCATCATCGTGGTCTTCTCCCTCTTGGCTGCCCTGCTTCTGGCCGTGGGGCTGGTGCTGCTGGTGCGGAAACTGCGGGAGAAGCGGCAGACGGAAGGCACCTACCGGCCCAGCAGTGAGGAGCAGGTGGGTGCCCGAGCGCCACCACCCCCCAACCTCAAGCTGCCTCCTGAGGAGCGGCTCATCTGAACGCTGGGGTCTGCCACAACCACCACCACTACCCAGGACTGCCTAGCACCTGCTCCCACACAGCATCCACCACCGAGACATGAGCCCATGATGGCTCAATTGGACTTTGGGGCCATGGGGCATCTGCTGGGCGGGCTCTGCGAAGCATGTCGCCTCTGCATGACTCTGCCTGCAATTGGGGGTGCCGGTGCTAGGGACCCGCCTTTCTGCTTGCTGCACCGTCTCCACACAGGCCCGACAACCCCCCTCTCCTTTCCTTTCAGTTCTCCCACGCAACCGAGGCCCAGGCTCCCCAGGACTCCAAGGAGAAAGTGCAGGGGTGCCTGCCCATCTAGGTCCCCTTCCTCTCTTCATCTCCCTCCCTTGCTGTGTGACCTTGGGGGAAGGCTGATCCCTCTCTGAGCCTTCAAAACCTGGGCTTAAGAATAGAAGGGGGAAATGGTGCTTCAAAACTCTGCCCCTGAGGGCAAGGGAGGGTGGGGATGCTGACATTTTATATATATATATATGTGTAAAATTGATAGTGAGATATAATAAAACCTTTTTTTGAACTGGTGGAGGCAGAAATTAGCCTAGAGGAGGAGGTAAATGCAGGGCTCATAGGCCGTGGAGGATGAATTGCAAGGTTTTGAGGATCTTAGGGGCTGGGAGGGTTTCCTGGAAAAGAGGCTTTTCACTACCCTTCGGAGCCAGCAGGAGGCTGCCCCAGTGGGGAAGGTGGTGGATGGGTTGGGTTTAGGAGCAGAGAGAGGGCCCACAGGTAAACTCACCAGGAAAAACCAGCTTTGGGCTCTTGAGACTTTATTGAGAGGATGGCATCTCCTCCAGATGCCTGGTCCTTAACCTTCAAAACACTTTTTAAGCTCAGCAACTCTGGGCCGGTTCCTGGCCTGGGGCTCCTGCCGATTGCTAGCGGGCACAGCAGGGGCTCTGGAGCTCTCTGGGAAACCGAGATCTGAGGTAGAGTCAAAGGTTGGAGATGTCCAGGTGATATCTGAGTTGGGCTTTGTGGGTAGCAGAGGTTGGGGGCTCTCTGGAGGGCTGGGCTGGGTGGGCACTGTGGAGAGCTGGGAGCAGGAGCTCTTCTCGCCTCTGGGCTCTCCGGAGGCCTCGTGGAGAGGGGAGAGAGGTGAGGTTTGTTGATGGGGCTCTGTGAGAGAGGATTTGAGGTCCTCGCTGCTGCTGGGGTCTGCAGAAGCTGTTAACGATTGGGTTGAAGAAGTGATTTCTTGGCTGGCCTCTGAGAGAGTGAGGTTCTTTAAGGACCTGGTGGTATCCGGAGTGTGGGGGTTTTGCAGAGATGGCAGGCCAGCAGGCAGGGACTGGGAATGGGGTTCTGGGGGGTCCTCCTCATCTGGCTGCCACGTTTGTCTTCCTGGTAAATTAGGCTGGACGGGGTGGGGGTGGGGGGGGAGATTAGCAAGTTGCTGGAATTTAGAGGGGGAGGGGGTGGCAAGATGGGTGGGCAAGTGGGAGAGGACTGGAGGGCTCACCAGGCTGAGGCAGCTGTCCATGTCCTCTCTGTGGCAGCAGTCTAAGCTCTGGCTGGGCCGCAGGCTGCCTGTCCTTGTGGCTCCCGTGCTCAGACTGTCTAGTATCTCACTCAACAAATCCAGTTCTTCCCCAGACCCCAGGAAGCTGCTGTCCAGAGCTTCCTCTGCCCAGGAGTCCTGGGTAGCCTCAGGGCTCAGAGGGGGTGTCCTGTGTGAGGTTAGGCAGCCTCAGATATCTGCCCCCAACCCCCAGCTCCAGTCTGGTGGCTCTGGCAGGTTTCAAATGTGGGGATCATCTTCCCCATTAGTTCTGGCCTCCCACTGACAATATTGCCCCCTCTCCTGCCTTTGAGCCTTACCTCTCCCCCAGGGACTCAGAAGGTCTCTCTTCCTGCCTGTGTCTCCTGCTGGGGCGAAGGGGCCGGTTCTGCAAAGGACAGGTTTGGAGGGGTGGGGCCCCAGGAGCTAGAGTCAGGGGAGCTGTGTGAAGGAGGGTGAGTGTGAAGCGGGCATCAGGTACTGGGGTACACGAGGAGGGAGGCAAGTTGTCTAGGTGGAGATCGAGGATGGGTGGAGGACTTGGTGATAATTCCAGGTGTGTGTGTCAGGGTGGAGGCGGGGCATCTTACCTGTCCAAAGTGCTGGGTGATAGGCAGGCGCTGCTGCAGGTGATCTGAGCGACTGGTGAGGGAGAAAGCCCTGAGGGAGCCCCCCCTCTGCAGGCTAGAATCCCTATCCTAGGAAGAGGTTGGGTGAGCCAGGAGCCCATTTCTCCATTCCCCCCACCCATTGGCCATTAGCTTTACCTTGTACATCAGGAGGCTCTGCATTCCCTTCAAGCCACTCTTGGCCTATGGAGGAGCCAAAAAAAAAAATTAGATTTGAGGTGATTTGACATGGGACATTTGAGAACTCAGCCCCCTGTTCCCTAGAACAGTGGAGTCTGCCATCTATTCATGTTTATGTCTCACAAATGTATTCACAATTCCCCATGCATCACCTAAGGAGTCAATACAAACTCTCGGCCCCTTGGCTAATACAAAAGGACTATTCCTGCGGGAAAGAACCCCCAGATGAAATGGGGAGTGGCAAAAACAGAACATCATAAAAATGTGTCCGTGTTCAAAAGCCGAGTGAAGAATAAAATTGAATGGACAATTTGGAGCTGCAGAAGTTGGCCCCAGGAAACGGGCCTGGGAGAAAAACCCCAAAAGGATAGAAGCGGGGTTTGCAGTGTCTGAGAAGGACAAAATAAACAAAAAATCCAATGAATCTTGGTTGCCAATTTTAAATAGGAAAGAAATCCTGACAAACATGAAAATAGTGAATGGAAAATGAAAGTGGGAAAAATTGTTAATGGTTTAACTGATGATTCAGGTGATAAAAACATGTGCACTTTAAATGTGGGGTTAAAGTGTCCTCTGTCACCCCTGTAAACGACCTGTCTAGCCCAGCCTCACCGAGCGGTACATGTTTCTGACGGTTGGTTGGGTCTTGGCCTTGACGGAATGCAGGAGGGCACCACCACCTTTCTGGAGAGAGAGTGCCAAGGAGAGAGGTGTGGGCATCTGGGGTTACCCCAGGACCCACCTCACTCCAGGATTGTGTGACCCCAGACAAGCCCTTCTCCCTTTCTGAGCCTCAATTTCTTCACCTCTATAAATGAGCAAAATGATGACCCTACTTGGGGGCTGTTTGGGATTAAATTAATCCAATAATAAACAAGACAGGTGTTCAATACCTTTAGGTTGTCTGCCCAGAGCTGGTAGGAGCGAAGGGTGCCTGGAGTGAGGAGAGAGCGTGGTCATGGCAGGCATGCTCAGGCTGGGGGGGGGTGGGCTGCTGGGGTAGGGACTCCGGGGTAGATTCGGGGCTCACCTGAGGAGGCCCCACTGCAGGTGATCTCCTGCTCAAACAGATCTGAGAACCCCTCTCCTTTGTTAAGCCTCTCCAGCCGGCCATCAATGAACTGGGGATGGGAGAAAAGATCAGAGTCACATCTGAATGCAAGGACTAGGAGTCCTCTCGCCCTCAGGAAGTAAAAGTCATTCCTGACCCGGCTAGGGGCCCACCCACCGGACCCAGGAGGTCTGGAGGCCACCTCTGGAAGCCAGAGGTCCAACCGCCTCCTATAGCCCCAGGTCAGGACCTGTTATCAGGGACCAGACACCGCCCCTCACAGGGACCCGGAAGTTAGATTCTGCCACTTCGGACCGACCCACCTCTCAGTGACCCTGGAAGAGGTTGATCCCACCTTCAGGGACCCTAGAACCCACGCCCGCGCTGAAGGATCCTGGAGTCCAGCCCACCTTCCTCCAGGAACCCAGGAGTCCGATCCCGCTCCACCCCCCTCCCAGGTACCCCGGAGTCCCGGCCCGCCTCCTCTTTCCTCCTAAAGTATGTGCGCATCTGGACACGCCCAGAACTTCCGAAGACGGCATTATTTCCCCAGGGCCCAAGGAGTAGATTTTGTCCCTTAGAAAATCAGGACGGGAACCCTCATCTTTCAGTCTGCAGGCCGATGCTCTATCCACTGAGCCAAACCGGTTAGGGCTGGAACCCTCATCTTTCAGTCTGCAGGCCGATGCTCTATCCACTGAGCCAAACCGGTTAGGGCTGGAACCCTCATCTTTAAGAAACCTAGTTCAGTTCGGTCTCCCCAATCTGAAGAGGGAGATTCCGCCAGACCGACTCTAGCCCCGCCCACAGGACCCAGGCGTGGCGTCCCTAACCCCGCCCCCCAGGTCCCAATCCCGCCCTTGGGCTCCGGCGCACCTGTTTGAACAGCTGCAGGTGCACAGCCCGCTGGTGGAAGGCCTGCAAGGGAGTCCCGGGCTTCTGGGCCAAGAAGGCTTCTTCGCTGAAGGTCACAGGCTGGCCCTGGAAGAAGGATCCTCGTCCTGAGCTCCTGGAGGCTCTCCTGGACACCAGCTGCCTCCCTTACTCTACCATCTATCTATGTAGCAAATGTTGATTGAGCGCCTGCTGTATGCCTGCTCCTGTGCAGGACCTGGTGAGCCGGGGGGGGGG